GGGGGAGGGGAGAATAGAGAGGGTGGTTGATTTTTGCAGATTTCACAGACAATGCCCAATTTTGCTGTTTCCATGAAATACGCAAAAATCACAAATTAACTAGGTCCATAAGGAAGAAACAAAAGAACTGCTATTGACTGGATCGGTCTGCAGATCTATCTAGCCCAGGATCAGGTCTCACATGGTAGCAGAGAGTGGATGTTGAGGGGGATGGCAAGCAAGAAAAGGTCAAACTTTTCCACCCCTTGCTCTTCTCCCACTGCATCTTCCAAAGCATTTCCCCTGGACACAACTGGAAGAGAACATGTAGGGAACCTCACCAAGCCTAAGGCGCAGACTAAAGACCAAAACACGTAGCATAGGTAGGCACATCTTTCACAAGAGGCAAATTTCCTGCATGTCAACATTACACAGCTCTTCCTTGACTTCTATTTGACATTTTAACCCTGTTTGCCAGCAGCTTCCTGGACACTAAACCTGAATCTCATCATAAATGCACAGTATGTATTGGGGATTATAACTGTGCCTACAAGGTTTTGTTGGATTTTTTTTTGTTTTTGTTTTTAAATGGGTGGCAGCAGATAAGCAAGTGCTTTTTAATTGTGTATAAGGATCACCACTCTAGGAAATGTTAATCCCACCGCCAGCTCTGTGCAACACTTTATACTGCTAAATCCAACCAATTAAGTAGAGAGAGGGAGATATACATACATAACATGGCTTTTGAAGGATGCCCATATGGCAACATTTATTTGACAAGTGTCAGTGCTGAAGTGCTGTGGTTGTATAACTAAAAATGAAAGCAGCAACTACTAAATATGTTAAGGGTAAAAAAAGTTCCCTTTAAAGAGCTGAACAGTGCAGTTGCCCCATTAACAAAAAAAAAAAAAAAATGCAGAAACTTTCATGGCTTTTACTTTAAATCTGTTACTGCAGAAACATTTGGCTTCCAAGGGCCTGGTTCCCCATTATATCAAAAATGTAAAAATTTCAACAGTGATCAAGTCACACAACACAATTTTAACCCTTTCAATCTCTCTAACAAATAAAAGTTCATTCCCCAAAGCATCTATACTTTGAGATTTATAAAGTTCTCAAATTTGGTCATTTTTCTGGGAGAGGATGCAGGACCATTCTACTCTGGGACCAAATTTGGCTTTTAGTGGCAGCAGTAGAGAGCTGGTATCACTCCACTGAAGTGAAAAAGGTTTCTCCAAATTCAGACGCATTCAATATAACAGAATTGGATCCAACACCTTCAGCACAGTCCAAAAAGATGATCTGTTATAAACACGACATTTCTTGGCTGCTTCTTTTTCTCTATTGTATGGCAAAAAAAAAGAAAAAACACAAAGCAAAACCAAACAACAGCATTAAAGAGGCTGCTTTGATCTCATTTCTGTTAATCTGCAGTTCTCCTATCTGCTTCACTAATGAATATCAGATGCATGACAGCAGCAGTATTTTGCATTTAGATAAGCATCTCAAAATCACTTTTTTTTAACCTTGCTTGATGTCACAGATGTACAAGTTTACAACGCCCAGAGCCAGACAGGATTCCTGCCTAAAAGCATTTGTGATCAAGTTCAGATGACAAAGATGCAGAGCAAGAGATCAGTTATGGAAGGATTGAGCAAAGTTCAGCATGGGGAGGATTCAAGGAAAAGCAAACTGCCACTGAGGCAGCATGGGGGAGACAGTAGATGTTTAACAAGAAGCTGAAGAGACCGCTCCAGGAGCAGACCACAGCAGGAAAGATGATGTACAGGCACATGCAAAAAAAAAAAAGCAGCACATAAGGAGAATGGTAAGGAGCAAATGATAGATCAGGAGACAAAGTGTGAAGAAGTGGATAGAAAGAAGTCACTTGAAAAGCTTTGAGGGGGCACGTGATATAACAGGAGATGAGGGAAAGGGAGGAATTATACAAGGCACCAACTAACTATGTTAAGGCACAAGACAACCATAGGATGAGATTGGTAAAAATGAAGGGGTTTGCACTCTGATTAAGCCTCTTGGTGTCACCAGCAGGGCAGTTATTACAAACTACAGTGACCATCAAGCAAGAAACATCCAGGAAGCCATTTTCACCAATGGGAAAACTAAGCTCCAAAGTGAAGTGTCTTCTCCAAGGCCACAGAGTAAGCAAGCAGCAACACAAGACAAGAAAGCAGGAATCCCAAATCCCAGCCAACATGCATTGTTGCTATTATTTGAGCACCATGGGCTTGCTCAGCACTGCCAAGGAATATAGGGTAAGACTTCAAAATAAACTGGGAGCATTTAAACACCTCCATAAATGCCCCAGTGCTCACCCCCCCTCTTACCCTCTCCTCCCAATCCCAGCCCATTGGAGAGAGAGTACATTAAAAAGTAAAAGAAGAACTTACTGGATTTGGAATAGAGCACTAATATATTATTCCGTGTCCTGAGAAGCTTCTTGAAATCCTTGTGGTCACTAATTTTTTCTATGAGTGGAGACACCTTTGCTGGCAACAGGCACACTGGTAAGACTGCCTAAGGATGCAAGACATCAGAAACAGAAATGTCAACTTTCCCACTTACTCGAAAGGTAAATGGCACAAGGGCATTTCAAAACCAGTCGTTTTTTGGCATTATAAAACTATTTTGACTCTGTTTAATGCCTTCTTTCACCCAAATCCACATACTGCTTTGATAAAAAAAGCCAAAAAACCAGAACTATCAATCAAAATAGGGAGAATATTGTGTTAAGCATTTCCACAAGGAAATACTGGATAAGCACAACATCAAGATGCATGCTTTTAGTTAGTAGGTGTGAAAGCTATGACCTTTAAACATCTCCTCAGGCAGGAAAACTGATTCCTCTTATTTATCCCCTGTAGTGCAGCACCACCACAAAGCATTCTTGTGCAGAAACCCCAAACTGTTTTGCACATCAAGCATCAGATATCTCCTTTTTAATAGGTGAAGAAAGTGAGGTTCAATGAAGTTAAGGGACTCACCCAATCGCACAGAAGTGGGACAACTAAGTGCAGAATTTCAGGGCAAAATTTTGCCTCACTGAAGTCACTGGCAAGTTTCCCACTGACCTCAGTGGAGCCCAAATGTCACTCTAGGTCTCAGCCCCATACCCAGTACAGAAATTAGGGTCACGGGGCTGAAGCACTGATCCTGGGGAGATGTATGTTCAATTCTGAGCTCTTCCACGTGTGTCCCTTATGCTTTTGGACAAGTTAATCTCTCTGCACCTCAGCTCCGCACCTGCAAAATGAGGAGGCCAGCTCTTTTGAGTGGAAGCTCTCCATAGCAGAGCCTTGCTCTTGCCCTTATGTCTGCAGAAAACCTTCTACTATGTCTGCCCACAGTAGCCGTCAATAATAACTGCCCTTTCCATCAGATGTCTGCCTTCCTCCTGCACTGTAATGCATTCATACTAATGGAATGATTAAAAGAAGCCTAGCTGGAGAAATGCTCTAGTTTACATTCACCTTACAGGAAAACCTTAACACTTAATTGCTTGGCTAAAAGCATTAGTTAATTTGCCAAACACACAAGAGGTTCAGCATTTCCCTAATTCAACACTAATTGTTAGTCTCTTTCATTCTAACTAGGGTGGAAAATTCATGTCCAGAGTGTATATGAAAAAAGCAAAACCCTGTTTTTCTTGCATCCTGTGTATTACAGATTTCTGTATTAAAAAAAAGGAAAAGGCACCAAGCCAAAGTCAGCCATTGGCACTGAATTTGCAATGAAACGCACAATTATTTACAAGCAACAGCATGTCGCCAAGGCCAAGAAAAAACCCAAATTCTATTAAACAATTAGATTTGATAATGAGATTCCAAAGCAAAAAACGAACACAATTGCAAAAGCTTGATTGCACAAGAATACTGTCAGGAAGCTTTGAAACCATCAGGTTAGACTGAAATTGTTGTAGCCTTGGGAATGAGATCCTGTAAAATGTTGCTCAGAGCACTAAACCTACAGGAAACTATACTTACAGTTTACATAGTATTTGTAAAAGGACCACATCTGCCTATAAACAGATAAGCGTTGTCCCATCCTACACATAATATTCCCACCATGGTCTAATTGATTGTCTCTCTAATGGCTACACTAAAGATAAATCAGCAAATGCATCCAAAATAAAACAGCCTTCATCTTTTAACTCGGGCAATAGAGGTTTATGCTTTTAGATGCCTATATTGGAGTTCAGTCTCCAGGGTCAAGATAAGTGTATTGGTTGAGCTAAAAAAACCCAGGGTAGCCACTAAAGGATGAAAAATGCACGTGGAGCATTACGGCAAGTTACACGCGGCTCTAAGTTCACGCTCACGCAGGACAACTCCACTGAAGTAGATGGGAAGGACAGAACATTTGGAACAAAAACTGTTTACAGAAACCACATAACAAGCAGGGGCGTGTGTACAACTCTGTATCAGAACTGGCTATGGCTCTTTTAAAAAATCTGCTCATGTAAATCCTGGCTTACAGAACATCAAACCTTCATGTTACACAAACAATAAGGTTTAGCACACAAGAGAAGCAGTGACTGTTCACTTTGTCTGTCTAGGAAACTGCTATCAAGAAAGACTAAGCTACTAACCAACTGCCTGGAAAATGTTTGACTGGTTTGGTTTTGGGTTTTTTGTTTTTTTATAAGTCAAGGCCTCTTCCAAAATGATGCTAATACCAGACTGCATTATACACCCATAAACTTTAAATAAAGTGCTTGTACAGATTTACAGATTGTTTGGAAGCAAACTTATTTCATGTCTTTTCCAGACAGAGAGGTTGTTTAGCCAAGTTCAGTGATTTTTTTATGGTAGATTACAAGCCTCATGAAAAATTAGATTTTTGGAAACAATGACAACTTTAACCACAAGCATGAATGTGTTGTCACTAACGCAGAATTTGCTGTGCTAGTGAATTCACTGGCTTGTTAAAAAGAGAAGCATATTGCATTCTAAGTGCACATTGCTATCCTAGCCTAGTTTATCCTATCAATACCCATTAGTCAACCTTGGTTTTAATATTGCACCCATCATGGCAATGTCTGAGCTCATGTCCAACATAAACTGCAAACTCACTGGGTCAGGTGCCATGTGTTGCAGCATGACCAGAGGCCTGATTGCTCCTGCCAAATAAATTTTTGCCTCCTCCAAATTAAGATTAATGCTCCAACCTGTCAGCCTCAGGGATCCAAGGTCCAGTCTGAAAGTACTAAGTTAGGATGATACGCATCAGCGTATTCATGTACAAGATTGTGCATCAATAATGATAAGTTAGCAGTGGGTTTTGTAAGCTCATCACCTTCTAAGCGATCAGAATTAACCAGCTTTATCTCCTCCAAATATCTTATATAAAATGAACAAATGAAGCTCCTCAAAGACATAAGAAAAAAAGCTTATATTTTTCTTTCCTTTGTTGACAATGCTCCTTCACTTTGTCTACCCATACAAACATCCACATGGGGTGCTGGTGGTGATGGCCTGGATTTCTGCTACTCAGCTGACATGTTCTGCTCCAAGCAGAGTTTAAATCACAGTACTCTGCAAAGTGGTGGCTGAACTTCTGAGCATTGCTGCTGTGGCTGGAGACACACCAGTGGCAGCAGTAACAAGAAATTAGAGAAAAAAGAACACCACAGGGCCCTCAGGGAACAAAGTATCCCACTCTCACAGACATTCAACAGGAATTGGGCACCCAGTTCTTTTAGTGAAAGATCCACTAAAATCTTTTCAGTGGATTTTAGCCTCTTTGAAAAATCCACAGGCAAACGTCAAGGAGCAGCCAGGACTGGTTTGCAAATATTGTGCTTCCTTATATCAATACCAAGGTATGATTCAGGGTAGGCTTGCACCAGATGTTTTCTTTACAAAGTTTTTGCGTACTGGCTTGCAACTTCTTCCCCAATCTATTAAAACACTCTATTCATTGTTGATATCCAGGACACAGAAGCTCGTTAACATGAGCCAGACAGGCCAGAAAAGGTGGTGCAGTCTCCCAGGCAGGAATCTTTTATATGCCACAGAAAACACCATGAACCTGTACTGAGCCTTATAAAGGAACAAGGGAAACCTACCTGCCACTTGATCAAATGACCCTAAAATTTCAAAATCCCTTGCACAAAAGAGCAGAAAAACTCCAGACAGTTTGGCTGAAAGGCAGTTTTGAGCAGGAACACAACCCGAGTCCTGGAAAGCAACTAGCATGCCCACCCATTCAGGAATGACCCCACCAGATGTCAGAGAATAGTGGAAATTGAGCCAGCAATTTATTCAAATTGGAAGGTCTTTGGTACAGGACTTCTTTATTCTCCATGTCTACAGAGCCTGGAACAAAGGGTCCTGCTCCAATTCACAACAGGGATTACCCAGTAGTACCACAATAGTTTTAACATTGAGTACCCCAAAAGGCTGCTGGAGGCCTTCATAGGAAAGCATGCACAATTCAGACTACGACACGAAAATACAGTTTAAATACCCCTAGTCTTTAGGGCCAAGTAAGGAAAAGCTGCAACATTCGAGATCTCTATTCCACACTGTGTTTTTTCTCCTCTCATACATTTCTGGGATATGAACTCATTTCTACAGGAAGGGGTATTCTACAAGTCCTTACCCTGCCCTTACCACTGAAGCACTTTAGTTGGACAATAACCCTTCAGTAAGAGCCAGCACAAAGGCCACGGTCTTCAGTTACAGCATTCAGAATAGTATTTGAAATTACAAAGATTTTTTCACTTCCTATAAGAAATCGGAGTTACAAGAACATAGCTGTCAGCAGCAGTCTCTTACTGTCTCCAATGGTCGTATCAAGATACACATTCAATAAATACAACACTGCACACTAAGTAGAAAAGACCTAATTAGTTGCAAAAAGCTTAAAGGCCTTCCTATTATCTCTAGGCTACCAATTTTTACAAGTCGATGGAACAATCTGCCATTAAACAGTTTGCTCATCTCAGCCTTAATTATGGTGGTGCTACTGCCCTGCTGTAATGACAGTCCACGATCAAGCTCTCAAGCTACAACTGGACTTTCAGGTATTTCCAAGACCCACTGCCTGCAGTCCCACTTCCAGCTGGTAAAATAATTATCTATTTGTTATCTTCAAGACAAGCAAGGTTTTGAACAACATAATTATTCCTTATCACATTTTTCTCCAAAATCAGAGTGTGAAGAGGAGAGGTAAGAGTGTATTGTTCAGGCTTTTATAAGGCTTCAAAAGCTAGGTTTGCAATGGCAAGAGAGATCTCTATTTCAGTGATTGGCAAAACGTTATATAACATAAGCCATGCTATCTATGCAGAGAATAAGTACTTCCCTGCTATTATTGTAGAGCCAGGTTTAACTTATGACTTGCCTCGCTGCTTTTGTGAGTTGGTGTGGGACATTTCATACAATTGTACAAATGCAGTGATCTTACATACGATAATGAGGAAACTTAGAAGACAAATTCTGGCATGGACAATGCAGCTGAAAAAAAAGTTCATTTAAGTCCCCAATGAAGGAACAATGTATCAAAGATGACTG